CCCTCTCTCTCCTGTTTCTTTCCTCAAACCGAACACCCCCAATCCTTCCCCACCCCGAACCTATACCCCAAACTGACCCCTTTAACCCTTCACCCTCCCTCACACTGACCCTCCCACTTTAAACCGCCCTCTCCAATCGGCCTCCCCTCCCCAACCCGAACCCTTCCCCCTTAACTCTAACACCGACCCTTCCTATTTAAAACCCACATCCCTCTTTCACTTTCTCTTTCTCTTTCTCATATCTCTCTTTTTTCTCTCTTCTCTCCCAAAGACACCCTTCGGTCTCTCTCATTTCTCTCCCTGCCCGCGTCGCGTCTCCACTGCCAATGTACCACCTGTGTGCCGCCACCTCAAACGCGTTGAACCAGCCTGCTAACACCAACCCTCCTCGCGCCGCGTCTCGACCAGCGGCCATCCCATTCGGCATGTCATGCACCGTCCTTGCGTGTTGCCTGCACGTTCCGCAGCCCTTGCCACCTGTCTGGTGTGCCGGCTTGCGCACACGCCTCCTCGCACCTGCTGCTGCGCCGCGTCCCCAGCCGCGTCGAACCGCACCGACCGGCCTGTTGTGTCGTCGTCATGTCCCACCCGTTCGGCCTGTCCATAGGCCATCCACGCCGGCCCGCCCGTTTCTCTTTCTACCCCCTTCGGTTTTATCCCCTTCTCCTCGACCAATTTCTTTTTCAAATCCCTATCCTTTAACTCTCCTCTTTACTCACCGAAGAACCAAAACTCCCACACCCCTATTCTTTCACACCGATCCCTTTTGTCTTGTTAGTCACTTTTCAGTTGACTTTTTAGGATTCTCAGGTTAAACCTTTTCACCCACTATATATTTTTCTCCACCCTTCTTCCTTTTACACATCTTCAACCTCTCCTCTCCTCTTTCTTATATTGTGTTTCCAAGTTCACCAACCATGGCTTCCAAAGGTGGAACTCACTCCAAAGCTCCCAAGATAGTGAAATTCGTTTCCCTCGTGTTGATAATGTTACATTTTCTCTTTGCAACTTTGTGGCATTGTTGGATCACACTAACAAGTATCAGGATTTTTACATCCTCACCGAATTTTTACGTAAGTGCCTCTCTTCAAAGCTTGTACCTATTCTCCCAAGATGAGCAAACAAGAAAATTACATAAATGCCCTTTTCCACTTAGTTCACATATGTTTGTGAAATTGTAAATTTAAAAAATTAAATTTTTAATATGATAAATCACAACCGTTTATTGTAAGAATCTATGGCCAAGATTGGTTAACAAAGTTAACACAATAAACTTGGTTAATATTTGAACCATCCACTAAAATAAGTATCTACATTTTCGTATTAATTTGTCCCAAAATAAGTATCTACATTTTCGTATTAATTTGTCCCAAAATAAGTATCTACAAAAACTTATCTCCCTACTAAGTGTAATTTTTTTATTCAATTACTTAAAAATATAACAATTACACAAACCTAACCCTCTGGCAAAATACAACAAGATTGTCTAACACTATAAACATTGAGTTTAGTACAACCATAACTTCATCAGGGTAAAAGAACTTTGTACAACATTTCTGGAGATAGACTCCATATTGAAAATTGAAATGAAGATGATGACTTTGAGAAATGATTTGTGCTCTATAAGAACATAATAAGATAGTAGAATTGAACGCAACAAAACGAGTATAAAAAGGCTACGATTGGCCATGGGAGAAGGATCTTGTTGCCAGTGAAAACAAGACTCCATCCACAAATCATGAGACGATCCATCATGGTTTATTACGAACATAAAAAGAACCTTTTGTTTACTTGATTCTATAAATCTATCATGCACGAAAGAAAATATCAATTTTTTGAAGCTCAATCGAGTAACGACAAAAGTCGTATGGCATTCCACAAAATAAAGAATGTTGTGTATATATCAATTGGTATGCAATCTTGCATACATAGCCAAAGTAATACATCATGTAGAGTATATGCATCAAGAAGCATTGGTTCTTTCTACCCATCATGTACATGTAATCCATATACAAACAAAAATATGGTGTTAATTCTTTCTACTATCGGTTTTCAATCTTCGGCCCCCTTCTAAGTCTTTTGAAACGCAAAGCAACTCCTGCATCATCTTCGATCATGTTATCGCTCCCTTTACCTACACGCACATAAACTAGTCAATTCAACTGCTTTTTGTTTTTTCCAAGTCGTTTGCCGAAGAAAACAAACCATAAATGCATGATTACCTTGAGTTTGAAGTTGAGGTTGCACTTTCTTTTGTTCCACCAAGTTATTGCAATCAATATATCCGGATCGTTGTGAAGATATTGTAATAACTCCACGTTCTAGCTTTTGCTCTGGCATCTCACATTTCCCATTGATGGGCTTCATGTAGCAAAACCTTTTCAAATTTTCAAGCCAAAAAAGAGGTAACAATGAAGCATATGAGAGCATTGCAAGTAGCAGAAAATGCAACTTCCACACCACTCTCTACAACAAAATCGGGTTTTATAGGACACCAACAATGTTAAAGTGTCCTGATGGACCATGTTTCGTAAGACTTTCGTTTATGGGACAAAAGAATAAACCATCGTATATAAAATTATTGTAATAAGTTTATAAGACGCTTTTGGGATTATTAAAAGAGTTGTCCTATAAACCTAGTTAAAACTCCCAAAAGCTTCATATAAACTTATTGCAACACTTTTAGACAGAACGTTTTATCGTTTAGTCATATAAACTTAAGTCGTATAAAGCATTCTATTGGGACATTTACACATTTTTGGCATCCTATAAACCCAATTATGGGCCATTTTCGAATAAGAGTAAGGGGGTGTTTGGTAAGAAGTATTAATGGTAATGAAAATAAAAGAAACTACTTGGTTTTGTATAATATAACGGGTCATTCCCCCAGAAGACCAAATTTTCAATTCCAGGTTAAACTAGGGGGATTGAAAATTCATTCCCATTTTAATTTCCTGTCATTTTCATTTTCATTCATTTGCCTGAACCAAACATCCCCAAAGTGATTTATAATCTTGCTGAAAAGTAAAAATGAATATGTCCAAATCAATATTAGTTCTCAAAAATAAAAAATCACTAAACGGGAAACTTCCGCCAAAAAGGAAAATCAGAGAAACAAAAACAAACATCCGTTAAGGGTGTACTGAATTCGTACTATTTCAACTTCTTTAAAAATTTGTCTTTTTATCACTTGAGCTTACAAATTTTTTATCTGCATCCATATATGATTTCTTTATATGACAATTCACAAGCAAAATTTGTTACAAAATCAAATGATTCTTCATAATACTTGAGTCATTCAACTTTTTCTTTGTATCGGTTTGTGATTTCTCTTCAAAATAATTCACTTGGTGAGCTTAAAAATCTCTACACGAGCTCAAGAAGTGGTCTTAAATGTAGACACTCCCTAACCCAAGTGCTTTTGACTCTATTTCGGCCATAGTGGATCAACTTAGGACCAAGAATCTTATCTGCTAAGAGAGAATGTAATGATTGAGAGTTTTATCCCGTAAGTAAGGATGGTGACTCTACCCTATAGGCGCTACCGGGTGCTAAACATTACCATCAATCCATTTTGATGGCCCAGAATGTTACCCAATAAGGCAAGTGAGGAAGCGTTTGGTAAATGGCCCCTTGGTGAGTACATTTACTTCACTAGCTCAATGGTAGTCTCTTCTACAAGATAGTTTGGTTATATGTGTAGTTCCATTCTTTCTAATAGAGATGGCCAAACAAATGCACGAAAAGCATTATTTGTTTCTTTGTCCCTTGTGCAGTTATTTTAGCAATTTATGTTCATTTTAGTTTGCTTATTGCTGTATACATATTAGTCCTTGAGTCTACTTTAGGGAGAGTTGTCCAAGATCTATGAACTATTTAACTTATTAAAGTCATCTTTATCAGATTTTGCATTCATAAAATTTATTTCCTGACACCATCAAACTTGTTCCGTCACAAAACCACACAACATAAATTTATATATCTACATAATATATATATAAAGATTGAATATGAATACCATTCTTGAGGAAGTTGTTTGCTATCGAAATCAGGGTCCAGCATCCTCCATTTTCTACACTTGTCGCATTGCACCCATTCATGATCCGGTTTATGCCGAGAACCACCTTTTGTCTGGGCACCAAAGTAACAAATAAAAGTAATCAGCCACAGCTAAATAATCGATTTATTGCAAAATGAAGAAAATACCAATCAGGCGTAGTAGAAGAACCAATGTCTCAAAACCCAGGCCACTCATTGTGTCAAAAAATTCAACGGTTGGACATATCATCGGGTCAACCTTGGGCATATCACTATTTACCCACTACGTCAAATTTGTGTAGGATTAAAGCTATTGCACACAATAATAACGATGTAAATGTTCTATTAACTTTTGAAACGTCACGATTTGAAAAGTCCTACCTCATTATAAATAGATAAAGAAAAGTTATATAAGTTCAAACTCTAATATAACAAACATGACAATCATTTGACCTTCATATGTAGAACAGAAAAAAGGAAGGAAACAATTAACTTACAAAGACTAGAACAAATTTTATTACTCCCTCCGTCCCAAATTGTCCATATTTCTATTCCAGTTTGTCCCAAAATAGTATAATTGTCCCCTTTCTACCTTAATAACTATGAGATGAAAAAAGTTTCTCTCTCTATTATTAGAAGGGTAAAAATTGTCATTTAGTTGATTTAAAATTTTAACAATTATACATTCCTAAAACTCTCTGCATTTTTAATTGTGGACATTAATTATTGGATGGAGGAGGGAGTACTACTAGTTTAACCAAGGCAACTAGATAAACCTAGACATACCACATGAACTTTGTCAAAATTGGTATCCAAGTACTCATCCGCCTTTTTACTAAGCCAATCTTCAAGTAGAGCATAAGGTTCACAATCCACGAATCCTTGTTTGTTGTTATGCACCCAAACACGGCCACTAGCATCATCCTGCACAATAACCAAACCAACAAAAATCTTTTCATAAGCAAAGTAAAAGAAAACGGTCCCATGGTCATCATGGGGAAGGTAAATCAGCACATGCATCTCATTAGCTATAGTTTCTGTGTATTGAAATTTAAAAAGTTATATACACAGAGGATTATAAATCAAAATTGGAAATTTAATGCATAAAACATACCATCACATTGGTGACATCTATTACTCCAACAATGCCATGACTCTTTTCTCCATTATAAATCATGCTCCCAACTCTTTTGTAAGCCTGTACGAGCAATTTAAAATTTGAAGTAACAAGTCTGGGGCTCAAACGAGAAATGGCTACACTTGTTAACATAACCCGAAAGCTTCACTAAAAGCTTTGGAAAAAACTTGGGTTTCTTCATAACCCCAAAGTTTTTTGTTTGAGAGGGTTTTCTCATCAAGTCCTGAATGGATAAAGTTTTTGTTTGGAAAAAACTTGGCTTTCTGCATAAAGCTCCCCCCTGAAAGCTTACTGAATAAGCCACTTTCTATAGCATTAAGCGACTACCAAACAATCATGTATAGCTGATTGAATAAGTTGTGTCTCATTAAGCTCATTAAGCTGCTAACAAACAGCAAAAAGGTGGAAAAGCCCCTGGTATTATTGAAACGTTACCTGAAGTAGCTTTTCAAAAAACTAGCTTATAAGCTAGCATATGGCTGCCTAATCAAACGGGTCTTTTCCAATAAGCTCAAAAAATAAGCTACCTTATGGTAGCCAAACATGGCAAGAAAAAATAGCTGCAAGTGATAACTAACATGAAAAACCACACAATATCAAGAATCACCTCGATCAACCGCCCATGCCAATATAAAAAAATTCCACAATTTCCTTGCTCCAAGTCCAACTGAGAGTGTCCAAGGATGAGTTGTACTGGTTTTCCCAAAACAAAACCATTTTCTATGCTGGTCTTGTGTAGAAATCTTGCTAAAGGCCGACTTTTAACCTGTTGCAAGTTTCAACTTCTAAAGTGATTCCCATTGGTGCATTAAAAAGAAGCAAAAGTAAGTTTAGAATGTATTTTATTGATATTACCAATGACCCTTGAACATAGATCTTCATTCGGGGATCTAAGAAGATGACTTCCAAATAGGATCTGAGCGAATAGTCTAATGGAACCTAAAAACAATAAAAGCAGATTACACTGACTTCCATATTTCACAAAGAATCTTCATCCAAACAAAGAATATTTCATAATGATTCAAACCTGTTGAGTCATCTGGCCGAGGCGGGATCTGACCCTACGTGAACAAATAAATATGTCACCTTGATGGAATGAACTACCACCACTCATCCCGTTGACCCATTCCAAAGAATACTTTGATCCCCATTCGTCCAAATTCCATATGTATATCTGAGTTCCTGTACCTTTTCTCTGAAACAAGCCTGCTTTTTCACCAATGAAATATTTATTGAATGGTGAAAATTCCATTACGGCTTTCAAGTTGCGCTTTGCTAAAGCTTCAGCCTGGACTTTTGTATCAAGCTCCATAAATTGCCCTTTCCGAGAATACGTTACAATTGGGATCTCTATATTCTGTGGCAAGACGATGAGTAAAGAAAGGTGAGACATGAAAATAATAGATGGTTTTTGAGGGTGCTTATGGTACCCAGGACTGGAGGTGAGAGTGAGGTAGGCTGATGGGTTATAGTTTGATGTGGGTAGTTTAGTAATTTACCAATCTTGTCCTGTCTCCCTGATTTTTGTTCCAACTATTTTCGTTGGACAAAAAATTGCATTTTTGTCTCTCAGCCTATGTTGCACCAAACGTGGGACAACAAGTATTTGTTATGTCCTGTATACCATACACACCCTCAAAGAACAGAAAAATCATGATGGTTATTGCAGACATCGTTGTCTTCATTTAGCGATTGCGAAAGAAAAGCAATTGATCTGGAGTTTGTAGTCTGGGTAAGAACCAACGTATCCCTGCCGAGTCTCATTGCTCCAGTCTGGGAATGGCATTTAACATCGCAAATTAAAAAGAGGAATAAATGTCAAAGCCACATAATAGACATAAAAAATCAAGCATTGAATTTAAAAGAAAAAAGATTTATGATTTCTCCCAATCTTGGACATGTTATTTGATAATCTCATTGCATCAAATATATATAGGAAGGTTTAGGGGAAAACTTCAAAAAAATGAAAAACTGAGAAACACTCTAGTAATCATTCATCTGGACAGTATGCATATGTGCATATAAGTAATTGAAGTTGCTTCTTGGTTTTTATGCACGTGCGCATGTTATGCACATGTGTATACTAAACAAATTGCTTATAGATTACGTGTGTGCACATGTGCAAACCATCTAGATGAACAGTAACCGTTACCAGGATGTTCCTCGATTTTTTATTTTTCTGCGGTTTTCCCCCAGAACCTAACCATATATATATACTAGAAGGATACTCGCATAATATAGCAAGATATATCTCAATTTTAATGTTTCGTTTTATTATTTATCTATGTCGATATAATACGGTTTTTAGTGGTTTACTTTTTAATAAAATATAAATTTAAATATATCATAAAAATTTGGAAAAAAAAATATATCGATATTAGTATCAAATTTACTATTTAATGTTATGGGTTTTTTGTGTAATTTCTTTAATTCAATATTTTATTTAGATTTAATAACAAAGTAATTTATTTATCGTTTAATAATATAATTTTTATAAAGATAATAATCAAGTATTTTGTTATAACTGATGATTATCCTAATTATATTTTTGATTTTTTATATTCAAAATGAGATGTCTATCATGTATTTGATTATGTTTATCTATAGTTAGTGACACAAATTAAAAAATAAAGCTTTAATAAGTTGTACTTACGCACAAATTTACTTGTGATCTTGAATTTCAAGTAATATGCATCAATAAACAGTACTTTATGCATAAAAAATTGTTTTTAAGAGTTTTTTTCAAATGTTTTATAATATAGTATAGATATAGATATATATATATATATATACATATATGTATGTATGTATGTATAGAGAGAGGGGCCTTCTTTTGAAAACCCATTAAAATGTACTCGGTTCACAATGTGAACCTTTTTGGCGTGTTTTTAAAACAAAAATTACATGTAAATAAGTTTCCCATTGTGAACTAAATACATATCAAGCAAACACATTGTGAAACAAATATATGTTGATCAATACATTAAATACTATACTTTGATGGAAAAAAAATCATGTGAAACATAACCTTAAGGTAGAAGTTTCTAACGGATCTCACAAATTTTGGATTTCTCAAATAATTAAGTATATATATATATATATATATATATATATATATATATATATGCAAACCAAATTGATGGTGGTTTTTCCAAACAAGGAACATACCTTAAATCCAACACCATATCTCCCAATATAATTTGAATCGCTTGTATCAGGTTGTTTGCGCCCAAAAGATACCATTTTCATGATCTCCTGATGGCTCATCCCATGACCATCATCTACAACTGCCAGCATTGGAATTTCCTTGCCAGCAATTCTCGAATATATCATGTCAATAGAAATATCCAACCTGATGAACACACCCAATTGTTATAAAACATCAAAATAAGAATAATATATACATATATAAACGAAACTATGATATTCATGAAATGGACCACAGAAGGCCTACTTTGTTGCTTTGGCATCTCTAGAATTGTCCACTAATTCAGCAACAGCACCAAAAATCCAGTCGGAATGGGTTTGACCAAGGGTTTTCAAATAACTAGGATGGGCACACATGTAATTCTTCGCTGGACCAGTTTGCATCGTTGCACTACATACCGATCTGCTACAAGTTTCAACTTTCGACTGAGGAGCTTGGTTATCTCCAATCATCTCCTCAGAGTTGCAATCAGGAGGGTTTCGGTTGTCATATTTAGAACCTCTTTTAGAATGTTCTAATTGAAATCCATCACTTTCACTTCTAATCTCTGTAAAGAAACAAAGAGAAAAAAATATATGAATTTTGTCCTCTTCTAAGTTTTCGCATGAAGATCAATGATGAAATTCAAAAGAATAAAATGCTCGCTTTTCTATAAATTTCTGTTTGGCCCAATTTTGGTCATATGCCGGCTATTTTTTATATAAAAAGGGGAATCATCTGTTTTGAAAAAATGATGTAACTGACTTGTTAATCACATCACTTGGAGATCATCTCATCCAACTGTCAGATCTATTCCTACCTGCTCAACCTTTTTGTCATTCTCATCTGAACCTCCCTGTATATGTGTGTGTGTGTATATAGAGATGTAGAAAACACACAATGAGGACAGGACTAACCGGATGTGACATGATTTTGGCATTTGGTGACAGTATACATCACCACAGCATGACTAAATTCTCCGTCCGAACAAGGAGGAAGAATGTAAAACTGAAAATTCTCAGTTTCTGCAAGAGCAACCTTCAAAAGCATTATCAATCAGTTACAACATGACAAAAGAAATAAAATGTAAATATGTGGAAAAAAATTGTGGGTGTGCTACAGATCAGCAAACAGCAGGTTTACATGTAAGCCGATAACATTCAGAAAACATAATGATAAATGCACAAAAAACAGAAGAACTCCTCACCTTTTCATATTGTTTCAGGAATTGCAAGAATTTCCGCCACTCTTCTTTTTGCCGCCTATCCACGTAAACCGGGCGTATATGAAAGCAACGTAATCTAGATGGAAGATAATCTTTCTTTATGAATTTAGTGATATCCCAAGTCTCAGGGCTGCAATACATTCAGCAATCACAAAGCAACAAAAAGATAAGTAGTCTTTGAATGGTAAAAACAACCTTTTCGGTTTATTATTTAGAGGACAGATGAAACTCTGATGCAGTAAAATCTGTACTCATAGAGGATGCAGAATGCAAGTTATTTGTGAAGAAATATTATTCTAGAAGACTCCATTATGTCAAAACAAGAAAAGATACATTGACGAGATAAAGCATACATTGCAATCGATGATTTTGAGCATTTGACTTTACAAATGCTTTTATCATCCTTCACTAGCGTAACATTACATTGAGAATCGTCTACACCTTCTGCAGAAAATGAACAACTAGTTAGGAAAAAGACGATCAATAGCAATAGTATAGCAAAGAGTATGCTCACTCTTAGGTTGTGGCTTGTCTGAATTGCAGCACGAATCTGCCATCAAGGAAACTGCAAACATGGTATATTAAAAGGAAAGTTATTTGAGAATAACATGATGAAGTATTATAAGAATATGCAAATATAAACACAAAAAAATATATCAAGTCAACCAAAAGAAATCTCAACACATATAAACTATTTATCCCTTCATGATAATCTACATTCACAGTGCCACATAAAAACCACTTGTAAAACCTGAGGATGAGTTTTCACCATGAGCTAATTGTGGGTGGTGTGAGAGTTATTTTCTTCTACTATTCATCATTACTAAAAGTAAAGGCTGTCAAGTATCAACTTACTGCAAATGGCTAGGCCGTGACATCTTGTACAATGTATTTTCACTAATGAACTTGGAACGAGATTAAGTTCAAAACTGCAAATATAGACTCATATTGTAGAAGAGAGAGGCACTGGTGGTGGGTGGACGACAATGGTCATAGAGGACATGAAGATGGTGGATTATGGTGGTGTTGGCGGTTGACAACGGTGGAGGAGGTAGTTGTGGCTGATGTAGTGAAGATAGTGGTGGTGGTGGTGGTTATGGTGGAGGTGAGGTGGCAATGGACGGTGGTGGTCGATGGTTGGTGGTGGTTGTGGAGGTCGTGGATGAGGTTGTTGCAGTAAAGGAGAAGTTGAAGGTGGCCAACGGTCGTAGTGGTGGTGGCAATGGATGGTAGTGGTCGGAGGCCGATGGTGGTTGTTGAAGTCATGGAGGAGGTTGTTGCGGTATAGGAGTTGGAGGTGGCCAACAGTGGTAGTGTTGGTGGTAATGGGTGGTGGTGGTCGGTGGCTGATGGTGGTTGTAAAGGTGGCAATGGACGGTGGTAGTCGGTGGTTGTAGAGGTGGTGAAGAAGGTTGTTGTAGTAGAGGGGGAGTTGGAGGTGGCGAACGGCGGTAGTGGTGGTGGCAATGGATGGTGGTGGTCAGTAGTCGACTATGGTAGAGGTGGCGATGGAAGATGGTGGACAGTGGTTGTGGAGGCAGTGGAGGATGTTGTAGTGGAAGAGGAGGTGGAAGTGGAGGTGGCCGCCGTCAAACTAGCGGTGATGACCATTAAAACAAATACAATATTAAGGTTATATATCAAACTAGGGTACATTAGTAATATTTTAGTTTTTGTCTAATTCTTGTCCCATCTTGTTCCACCTACTTTGGTGGAACAAGAAAAAGCTTCTTTTGTCCCATGTTGTCCCACCTTGTCTCAGTTCTTGTCCAGGTCCGATGTCACGCCAAACGTGGGACAGTGAGTTCTTGTTTTGTCCCATGTTGCGCCAAACATGGGAAAGTGAATTATGTCCCGTCTTGTCCCATCCCGTCCCATGTACCAAACGCAGCCTAATAGCTGAGAAAAACATTACAGTTTTCAAGCATGATCGTGCCAAGCCACTCGTTACCGGGCAAGGAAATCAATCTTAGAAAACAAATAATTAATTTCAAAACTTGCAAAAGATAGAAACTAAATGCATCACCATGACCACAATGAAACCCTTGTTGCATTGAAACACAAACCAAGGATACCAAAAAGGCAAGAGAATATAAGGGGCCGTTTACCAATTGGGTAAGCACTTATGTAACAGCCCAATCCTAAATGGGTGTCATTACTTTCTTTTGATACTAATTTAGTCTTGTATGCAAACTAAATATAATTTTATTTCTTCCATGTCTTGCTATTACATCAAGGTTGAAACATCAGCGAAAACAAAACTCAATAACTTATAATACAACAAGATTTGCTATTGATTCTTCTTCATGCTATTCCTCTTTACTCCTTCCCTAAGATACATAATAAGTAAGCTTTAAGCTTTAGTGAGTAGTTATGGTTTCATGAATAAACAATTTTCATAATACTTGTCAATTTATGAATAATGATTCACTAAAACTCTTTATCATGCATAAAAATACCTTTTTTGAGATCTCTCACCTGCGACATGTAACTATATCAAACTTGCCTTGAGGTTTGCACATGTAAGTATGTCATACTTGCCTTGAGGTTTGCTAACCCCGGGTCAATAAAGGTTGCCCCATAATATCCGTTTGCAATACATCCCTTCATTCTATATCGTTGGCATAAACCTTTCATGCCTTATGTGTAAAACACATATAAAATGCATAGATCTTGGCTATATAAACGTATCCCGATTTCATGTAACGCATAAAATACATTTATATAGCATATATGTATCTCAGTAAATCTTATACTGTACTCACCTTGTTTTGCGCTTAGCTTTTCAATTGATTTCTGACTTCGAACTTGGTATTGTATTTAGAGTGTTTTCTTACTTCAGTATGGAAATAATGGTTTCATTTCAACCACTGTTTATAGGAGATTACAATGCATTAACTACTTGTTCTCCTTGCTCTCATGGTTGTACTCTTAGAGAGTTTAGCACCTCATGCTAAAGATAAAAGAATCATGACCACATCATGCTTACTAGACTTGCTTTGTCATCAATAATTTTGCCAACACATGCATCTATAGCCTTGACAACTCATAACTAGCTTGATTTGTCATGCTTACTAGACATACTTTGTCATCAATAATTTTGCCAACACATGCTTCTAGGCTTCTAGCCTTGACAACTCATAACTAGTTTGCTTTGTTATGCTTACTAGACTTTCTTAGTTTCTTTGTCAAGTATTTAGGTTTGATTTATCATGTTTTGCTTGTAAGCTACTTGCCATTTAAAATATGATGATTTAAAGATGCTAATGTTGCTATAGCCTTTTTAGTGCACTTAATTTGATCATAATAATTGCATTTAAGGCTTAAAACGCTGAAATCTAACAAATATAGAAACTAAGGTGTTACAGCTAAACGGGTACAAGTCATCACCCTCACCTTACCGGGTGACCAAGAATCTTACCCCGTGAGTGGGGGTGGTGGCATTTCCTGGTTAGCGCTCACCGGGTACGAGACATTTACCAACAATCTTACTACGGCATTTTGATAAACAAGATCCTTACTCAGTAAGGTAAGTGGGACGGTCACTCTTAACCGGTAAACGGTTTTGGAAAACGACTCACAAGTGTTAATATTTTACTTTTCGTACGTCAAACATGCAACTTTTCAACTTCAAATTTATATAAAATTATATGGAAATAATACTAGCAAGATCCTAGAGAATGAGTAGTGCTTGATAAGACTCTGACATAGAATATGTGGATAATGAAGAGTAAATTGAACAAACTAAAAGTAAACAATGTTAACGAACAAGATAACGGCCCAGACTTGAGAGAGAGGCTAACTCTCTTAAATATCGATCTACTTTCAAGCGGAAGACCAACTCTCCTAACAATGCTCACTCCTTCAATTTACTTTAGTAATGATGATAAGCATGCCAAAAACATTTTCTAACTCCACTATACACCAGTTAATTAAAATACCAAAACTACCCTCTACAAACTAATTTTGGTATTACATTACTCCCTTCCTACTAAAACACCTTGTCTACAAGGTGTTAAAAGTTACAAAATAACCTCCTTTTCGGGTCGGTTTATCCACGGTTTAACACCTTGTTAATAGTTATGTTTGACACTCCTCATCATGCTCCTTGCAAGCATTCCTTCCGATTAGGGCTCGCAATGGATAAGGTAAACGCGTTACCCATTATGTTTTGACCCATTGAATAAGGGTATGGGTAAAGAAAATGTTAATCACTTATCCTTTATCCATTTACCCGACATTTTAATGGATAAGATATCGATAAATGGTTTTTCGTTATCCGTTACCCATTACGATACATAGGCCTTCATTTGAGATCTATGCAAAACCTATTTACACAAATACCCCGACGATTTCCACTAGTTAAGACATAGAGTCCACTAAGCATATCTTGAGTTGTGAGATCTATGCAATTTGTGAGATCTATGAGATCCAATATAAACCACAAATCATATCAAATTAAGGGTTAAATTAGGAAATTAGTAATTTTGTTAATTTTGAATTAAAAATTTAAATTTGTGGGTATTTTACAAATTTTCTCTCTCCCATCATTAACAACATAATCTAAAAAATAAAAATAAATCTAACAAGTAACCTAACACATTGTAAACACCAAGTAGCCTAACAACTATCACCAAGTAACACATGGTGATCACCTTCTGAAAATCTTGTGAACACAAAAACATCAAAAAGAAAAACAAAAAACCAAAAAAAACTATAGATCCCTAAGCACCATGTGTAAGAACTTGGATACACATTTGAACAAAATCAAATAATTAAATTTGAACACCGGCCAAGCATCTCCGATGAACTCAAAACCACAAAACAAATAGTATATCACGATGTCAACCACTATCCAATTTATGTTTCCAATTAAACATTGTGATCACCTATTTTATTACTCATTGTGATCGCCTTGTAAACACAATGGGACACAACGCCAAGAACAAAAAACCAAATAAACAAAAACTAAAAATCACTAGAAACATTCAGTAAGAACTTAGATACACATTGTGAACAATTAACTAATGCTTTTATAGAGAAATTACCGATTCACTGTTTATTGGAGGAATAAGTTAAATGCACTTACGTGTTGTATTTTCTATTAGTAAATTACCCTTCTATATTTATTTAATAAATAGCATAATTATCTTAAATAAGTGGATCTCACAAATTATAGGGATCTCATTTGATTAAGCCCCTAA